GAAAACACAGGCAGCAACCTCTTTGACCTCAGCCACAGCAACTTCTTCCTAGAAACATCGCCAAAGGCAAGGCAAATAAGGGCAAAAATGAACTATTGGGACCTCATCAAGATAAAAAGGTTTTGCGCAGCAAAAGAAACAGTCCACAAAACCAAAAGACAACCAACAGAATGGGAGAAGATATTTGCAAATGACATATCAGATAAAGGGCTAGTGTTCAAAATCTATAAAGAACTTCTTAAACTCAACACCCAAAGAACAAATGATCCCAATCAAGAAATGGGCAGAAGACATGAACAGACATTCTTCCAAAGAAGACATCCAAATGGCCAACAGACTCATGAAAAAGTGCTCAACAAAATAATCCAATCAAGAAATGGGCAGAAGACATGAACAGACATTTCTCCAAAGAAGACATCCAAATGGCCAACAGGCACATGAAAAAGTGCTCAACATCACTCGGCATCAGGGAAATCCAAATCAAAACCTCAATGAGATACCACCTCACACCCGTCAGAATGGCTAAAATTAACAAGTCAGGGAACGACAGATGTTGGCGGGGATGTGGAGAAAGGGGAACCCTCCTACACTGTTGGTGGGAATGCAAGCTGGTGCAACCCCTCTGGAAAACAGTATGGAGGTTTCTCAAACAGTTGAAATTAGAGCTACCGTTCGATCCAGCAATTGCACTACTGGGTATTTACCACAAAGATACAAATGTAGGGACCCGAAGGGGTACATGTACCCCAATGTTTATAGCAGCAATGTCCACAATAGCCAAACTGTGGAAAGAGCCAAGATGCCCATCGACAGATGAATGGATAAAGAAGATGTGGTATATATACACAATGGAATATTATGCAGCCATCAAAAGGAATGAGATCTTGCCATTTGCAACGACGTGGATGGAACTGGAGGGTGTTATGCTGAGTGAAATAAGTCAATCAGAGAAAGACATGTATCACATGACCTCACTGATATGAGGAATTCTTAATCTCAGGAAACAAACTGAGTGTTACTGGAGTGGTTGGGGGTGGGAGGGATGGGATGGCTGGGTGATAGACATTGGGGAGGGTATGTGCTACGGTGAGCGCTGTGAATTGTGCAAGACTGTTGAATCACAGATCTGTACTTCTGAAACAAATAACGCAACATATTTTAAGAAAAAAGGAAAAGAAGAAGATAACAGGAGAGGAAGAAAAGGGGAGTATGTCAGAGGGGGAGACGAACCATGAGAGATGATGGACTCTGAAAAACAAACTGAGGGTTCTAGAGGGTAGGGGGGTGGGGGGATGGGTTAGCCTGGTGATGGGTATTGAGGAGGGCACGTTTTGCATGGTGCACTGGGTGTTATGAACAAACAATGAATCATGGAACACTGCATCAAAAACTAATGATGTAATATATGGTGATTAACATAACAATAAAAACAATTAAAAAAAAAAAGTGCTCAACATTGCTCGGCATCAGGGAAATCCAAATCAAAACCTCAATGAGATATCACCTCACTCCAGTCAGAATGGCTAAAATTAACAAGTCAGGAAACGACAGATGTTGGCGGGGATGCGGAGAAAGGGAAACCCTCCTACACTGTTGGTGGGAACGCAAGCTGGTGCAGCCACTCTGGGAAACAGTATGAAGGTTCTTCAAAAAGTTGAAAATAGAGCTACCATACAATCCAGCAATTGCACTACTGGGTATTTACCCCAAAGATACAAATGTAGGGATCCGAAGGGGTACATGCACCCTGATGTTTATAGCAGCAATGTCCACAATAGCCAAACTGTGGAAAGAGCTAAGATGTCCATCAACAGATGAACGGATAAAGAAGAAGTGGTATATATATACAGTGGAATATTATGCAGCCATCAAAAGAAATGAAATCTTGCCATTTGCAATGACGTGGATAGAACTGGAGAGTGTTATGCTGAGAGAAATAAGTCATTCAGAGAAAGACATGTATCATATGACCTGACTGATATGAAGAATTCTTAATCTCAGGAAACAAAATGAGGGTTGCTGGAGTGGGGGGAGGGTGGGAGGGATGGGGTGGCTGGGTGACAGACACTGGGGACAGTGAGTGCTATGAATTGTGCAAGACTGTTGAATCACAGATCTGTACCTCTGAAACAAATAATACATTATATGTTAAAAAAAGCAAAAAAGAAGATAGCAGGAGGGAAAGAACGAAGGGGGGGAAATTGGAAGGGGAGATGAACCATGAGAGACGATGGACTCTGAAAAACAAACTGAGGGTTCTAGAGGGAAGGGGGGTGGGAGGATGGGTTAGCCTGGTGATGGGTCTTAAAGACGGCACGTTCTGCATGGAGCAGTGGGTGTTATACACAAACAATGAATATGGAACACTACATCAAAAACTAATGATGTAATATATGGTAATTAACATAACATAATAATAACAAAAAAAAAAAAGAAAGAAGTCTGATGCATCAATTCCCTCTGCCTTCCCAGTTTTGTTCCATGGCACCTCCATCTGAAAGTTCATGCACACTTGTTCCAGGAGCAGAAGACAGAGGCCATCTACAAATGGAACATCTCAGGGTGCTAGAGGAAGAAGGGAGGAGAACTATAATGAGAGGGCTACTTATATCCAAATGAATTGCCACTCAAGGTCCATTACCAGGAACTGTTGGGGATTTCTGGAGAATGGTGTGGGAAACCAGAGAGAAAACATTAGTAATGCTAACACAGTGTTTTGAAAAAGGGCAGGTCAGGTGCCATCATTATTAGCCAGAGGACAACAAACCAGTTACTGTCTTTGGAGATATAGTGATTACAAAGCTAATGGAGGATGTTCAGATAGTTTGGACCATCAGGGATCTGAAAATTGAAAGGCATGGCGATTACATGACTGTTCAACAGTGTAACTTTACTGCTTGGCCTGAGCATGGGGTCCCGGAAAACAGTGCCCCTCTAGTTCACTTTGTAAAACTGGTTCAAACAAGCAGAGCACATGACACCACACCCATGATTGTTCACTGCAGTGCTGGAGTTGGAAGAACTGGAGTTTTTATTGCTCTGGACTACTTAACACAACATATAAATGACCACGATTTTGTGGATATATATGGATTAGTAGCTGAATTGAGAAGTGAAAGAATATGCATGGTCCAGAACCTGGCACAGTATATCTTTTTATACCAATGCATTCTGGATCTCTTATCAAGTAAAGGAAGTAATCAGCCCATCTGTTTTGTTAACTATTCAGCACTTCAGAAGATGGACTCTTGGGATGCCATGGAAGGTGATGTTGAGCTTAAATGGGAAGAGAACACCATGTAAATATCCAGACCAAAGATTACAACTGGAAGATATTTTCAAATCCCAGGGGCCAAAATTTCCCCCTCATTCTTCTGAATTGAAATGTGCAACCTTAAAGAAAGCTCTATGTTTCTGTTACTGTGCCTTACTAAATGGATTGACATTTTAGGAATACTTCTAGGAAATAGCTAATTCAGGATAGTCATTGTGTTTCGTACAGAATAAATACGCATTGAAAATGTTTAAGAAAAGAGATCCCAGAGATTTTTGAAGTCTTCCATATTTTTGGAATGAGCCAAATAGAAAATGATCATTAGATTAGCATGTGTGTTTCCAGGTAAATTTTCCCCACATATTGGATTGAATCTTGAACAAGAATGGTAAATGTTGATTCGGTCGTGTTATTTTGGCCACCAGGGTGTTAACGTTCCTTCTGGATAACTTCCAGGACTGTCCTAATGCTCTGTACTTCCGTGTACACCCCTGGGTTTTGAATCCTCTGTTTTATGAGTGCTGAGATATCATCTCGTGATCTCCAACAGCTGAACAGTAACCCCTTGACACTGCCAGGATTACTCAGCCTTTATACAACACACAGTAGCTCTTCGGGGACACTTAGGGCTATTTAAGTTGCTTTGTGATCTTTAGTTTGAAAAACAAAAAGAAAAATGGAACAGTGCGATTGCTCATAGGAAGCTGTAGAGTATTTTGTACTGTCTACATCTGTACCTTTTCCAGGACGAGTTGTACCACTATGCTGTATCATTAAATACATGGTTAAATGTATCCAAAAAATAATAATAATATTGCCTTATCATTTAGGCATAAAAAATTGAAATTACCATAATGGTTAAGCACTCTTCTATATCCACACTATCCAAAGTAGTAATAGCACAATTCTATCTCCTACTCTGATAATCTGAGAGGTACTTAAAGTTTACCTTTAGTAAAGAGCTATTAAATCAGTTCCATATTAAGCAGAGGAAACCAGTAAGATCTACCTCAGACAAGTTATTCAACCTCTTTATCTCACTTTTGGAGTCTGAAAACTGAGAATACCATGCCTTAACTAATACTAAGAATCTAATGAAGCAAGCTTAAACATTTGTTTTGTTTTTTAAGGATCATGGAGGCTCCATTGCTGAGAGAAGCTGTCAAAGGATAATATATAGTATACCCCAAGAAAAAACCCACAAATTCACGGCTAAGGAGGTATACCCACTAGAGAGGAAGTTATTACTTTTCTGCCTTCTGCGAGGTATAGGACATAATGAAGGGCAGGTGCACATTTAACATAACTAGACCAGCTGGCCAGTGTAGAAAACCAGAAATAAGCTAATACCTTTGAGGATGGCTCTACAGAGCTCCTCAACTCATGAAAGGATTTAGGGGCACCTAGGTTGCTCAGTCAGTTAAACATCTGACTCCTCGTTTTGACTCAGGTCATGATCTCTCAGTGGAGAGATTGAGCCTTGCGTCGGCCTCCACGATCACTGCAGAGTCTGCTTCAGATTCTCTCTCCCTCTTCCCTCTGCTTCTCCCCACCCCCTGCTCGTTCATATGCTCTCTCTCTAAAATAAATAAATAATCTTGAAAGGAAGGAAGGAAGAGAAATGAAAAGAAAGAAAAGGAAGAGATTCAGATGCAAGACCTAAAGTCCCCCAAAGTATTTTACAAGTATGAGTTATTACTACCAGTTAAAAATAAAGAGGCATTACCTAGCAGCGGCGAACATAAGAGACCTCTCTTGGCTTCCTTTACTTGATTTTCTGGTTGGGTCAATATACCTTCCTCCACAGAGGTGAAGTCTGTCACTTCGGTCCCTTCCTCTCGCATATTAAACCTGGTCTGGGTTATATCCAAGGTGTGGGAAGAGTCCATTTCTTGAGGAAGATAATGCCAAGATTCTGTTCTCTAAAACAATAATTTTGAAGGAAAATATGCTAAGTCATTAACTGAGTTACCATATACGTTAATATTTAGATTTAAATATCCATCCACTCATGTAGCATTTAGCTTCTATATAATAACATTCTCATCACGGTGTTTTTGGAGAAAGCAAAACTGTTCTTTCTGTATGTTTTTTGCAATATTAACTACATTTTAGACCTCTTCTCATCACTACCCATCTTTTAACGTGTGATATCACTAGGATTTCTGCTATTCATTAACAGTTCTCTTCACTATAACAATACATTTGGTTCTACATGATGAAATCTTACAATTTGATTACAAGACTGAAATAGATTTTCCAAACCTAAAGCTATAAGATGCTCTACACGTGACCACTTTACTGAATTCTTAATTAGCAATACTGGTTTCTAGTGGGCTTGGCTCTTCTCATTATGTAAGATTATCACATCATTCATGAATAATGATACAAAATGTTTACTCTTACATTAGTGGCAAGATTCAGAGCAAAGCTTCTCAAGTTATCTATGGGAAAAAACAATTTTTCCTACTTCCAACTCTAACATTTTATTAAAATACTAATAAAAATTAGTAATCAATAAGTCCGTAAAAATAATAAACCAACTAATAAAAAATAAAAACTAGAAAATTAAATTTAAAAGATATATAAGCCCAAAATATAAAACACAAAGCCAAATGTCCGATTTTTAGTTCTAAAAAACAAAATTACTCTGTCAAATTTATAAACGTTTCTAAATACTTCTATATTCTTGTACTTATCTCTTAACAACCAATTCATGAACTGGCACCAATCCACATACCACGCTAAGTAGCAATGTTGAATTAAAGACTATCTGAAACTAATGATGTTCTATATGTTGGCTAATTGAATTTAAATTAAAAAAAAGACTAATGGTAAACAATTTTATCAGCATTTTCCTTTTAAATTTGGTATTGGTTAATAAAGATATTCTTCCTATCATGCTATGAAAGTACACTTTTATTTTCATATTTAATCTGATTAGGAATGAACTCTAAATTTGATCAAACTATAATACAGTATTTTTTCCCCAATTAAGTCTGATAATGTAATAAATTTCTTTCTAGTGCAACATTCCTTGCTTGGCAGTGGTAGATCAGACTTTTAATCATATTTGTTAGCATACTCTTTAACATTTTCACTCATATATAGTCTTAAGATTAATCAGGATTTTTGAATGCCTTGCTTTGTTTTCTAACCTTATTCCATAACTTTATTCCATATTTGTTTAAGATTTTATTTATTTGAGACAGAGAGAGAGAGAGAGAGAGAGCGAGCATGAGCAGGGGGAGGGGCAGAGGGAAAGGGAGAAGCAGACTCCCCACCGAGTGCAAAGCCCAATGTGGGGCTTGATCCCAGGACCCTGAGATCATGACCTGAGCCAAAGGCAGATGACTGACAAACTGAGCCACCTAGGCACCCCAACTTATTGATTTTCATTGTTTGTAAATAGTCTATTACCGAACTTTTCTTTCTTAACCAATTCAAATGTTTTCTTAAGAGAATATAAATTTTTTATTCCCAAATAACCCAAAATCTATAAAAAGATGTATTATAATTTAGAATGATTTTCTCACTTTCATCTTTGAAGTTATTAGTTAAAATTACCATTACTTAAAATTCATTAATTAAATATTCTTTTAGTAAGTTAACTAACTATCCACTACCTATTATCAGTTATATAAATATATGCAGAAAAAAGAACTGGAGTAATATTCTAAAACAGTAACACTACTCATCTACAGCTTGTGGGATTATAGAACAGTAGACCTTTGCCATTCCAAAATATCTCAATCCCTGCTATGTTGGATAAATTAGTCCAACCTAGAGCATCAAAATCACTGCTTGAAACATGTTTTTTATGTTTTTAATACTTGGAAATAAAAGGTGATTGATTTTAAATTTTTTCTTTTGAGAGTACTCGATTCTGTAGAGCATAGCAAGCCAAAGAAGTGTTTTAAAGCAGGGGAATTCCAGTCATTGTGTGACTCTCACTACAGAAAAATCTCTAGTCCCCAACTCATCTCTCAGCCTCCGTGAGGATGGTTTGAGCCTGGTCCCATAGTTTATTCCTCACTCCAAAGAGACAGGTATCTGTTGGCTCTCCTGCCCATCCTCTGGCCTCATCAGATCACTCTACTGTAGCTCAACTTCAGTAATTCTTTAACCTCATTAAGACAATTATCCTATCACATTAACACTTTTCATAATTCCTTTCTTTCCTGTATTTCCCTCTTTACCACTCGGAGAGTTCATAGCCATCCTTATAACCACTGCCTTGCAAACATCTTTAACTTCCCTGCCCTTTTCTCCCACTATCCTATTTGCCTGGTAAAAGCTCAGTTCTCTAGTCGAACCTTCTCCTTATCTGAATCTAAACAGCAGCACATTGCTGAATAAAGCACAAACCCAAATGGTTTTTCCCTTAAATTGATGACATTAAACCTCAAGGGCACTCAGCATTGCCTAGAAATCCTACTATATTTTCCTGGTAAACTGACTTGCTAAAATGACTACACTCTCTCCCCTCAGAACTACTGAACTCTCCTTCCTCATTTTCAACTGATGACCTCATCTCCTACTTCAATTAAGTGAAGAGCAGGAGATGGAACTTCCTTATCTTCCTATCACCAGATCTACAATCCCATTTTTATCTTGTGACTTGAAAAAGTCTCTGTACCTACCAAAGGCCTTCCCATCTCATTCCATTCTTTTCAACGACTGCCATCCTATATGATTCTCCTGCTTTCATCCATTTTCCCTCTCTACTAAATCATTTCTCTCCCCAAGCAAACATATTTATAATTTCCCATCATAAAATAAAGTTATAAAACATCCCTGTTCAACATTTTCTCTTGGGGTTTTTTTTCTTTTTTTTTTTAAGTTTTTAGTTTTTATTTAAATCTCAGTTAACAAGGACACCTGGGTGGCTCAGTCGGTTGGGCGTCTGCCTTCAGCTCAGGTCATGATCCCAGGGTCCTGGGATCGAGTCCCACATTGGGTTCCATGCTCTGTGGGGAGCCTGCTTTTCTGTCTGCCTCTGCCTCTCTCTCTCTCTGTCTCTGACTCTCATGAATAAATAAATAAAGTCTTAAAAAAAAACTCAGTTAACATACAGTGTAATATTAGTTTCAGGTGTACCTGAATTTAGTGATTTAATACTTACATACAACACCTGGTGCTGGTCACAAGTTTGTATAATTTTGTTGCTGTTCCTATCACACAATGGTTGCTTGTGTTATACCTTTTTAATCAATATAAAAAGGCCCTCAAACCTCTAATGTTTTTGACATAAACACATTTTGAGGGAGAAAAAAGATTAGAGATATAAATTTGGATTTTTACGTATACAGATATATTTAACCCCCCAGATCTAGATGAGAACTAAAACATCCCAACACTTCAAGCAGAAGTCAAAAACTCAAATGTGTACAGGGCCAAGGAGGTAACAGAAATGAGTAAATCCACTTGAAATTAGAGTGATGGGACCTGTGGCCAAATATGCACTGCATACACACTTTAAAGTGTTTTATTTCAAAATTTTAAAAACACTGCCAAAAAAAAATTTTTTTTCCCCTGAAAACCACATTTGGCCATTATTCAGGCCCACAGCTTGCAACCTTTGATTTCAAAGTTGTTTTTTTTTTTAAAGATTTTATTTATTTATTTGACAGAGAAAGACACAGCAAGAGAGGGAACAAGCAGGGGGAGTGGGAAAGGGAGAAGCAGGCTTCCTGCCGAGCAGGGAGCCCGATGTGGGACTCGATCCCAGGACCCTGGGATCATGACCTGAGCCGAAGGCACACGGCGGAAGATAAAGCAGCAAAGGAAACTAAGAATAGCAGAAGAGTAGAAAGAAAACTAGTAGAAGCTAAGAAAGGAAATGATTTTAAGAAGTTATGCAATGGTTAACAGTGTCAAATGCTATTTACTGCAGCTAAAATGAGGACAGAAAAGTGCTCACTGTATTCAGCTATACAAATGTTGGCAAAACTTGCTTTCACAGAATTGAGGTCAGAACACAAAGCAGATTAAGTAAAATAATAAGTAGATCCTAACCGGTGATATAAGGTACATATATTAAAAAGGAAAAAAATACAGTTGATATAATTGTCTACTTAGAAAGTCCTAGGGGCACCTGGGTGACTCAGCTGATGAAGCGTCTGACTCTTGATTTCAGTTCAGGTCATGATCTCACGGTCATGTGATCGAGCCCCAGCAGACTCTCTGCTGGGTGTGGAGCCTGTTTGGTTTTCTCTCTCCCTCTGCCCCTCTCTGCTCTCTCTCCCTCTCTCAAAATAAATAAATAAATAAATAAATAAGTCCTAAAAAACATCTACAAAAGAGCTACTACTAAAATCAGTAAATGTGATTAGCAAGGTCACAGGATACAAGTTCAATATAGTCATTTATATCTCCATATACGTGCAATCAATAGGAAATTGAAATTTTTAAAAACATCAATAAAATTAATCACACCTTAATAAAAGCAATGTTTTTTAAATAAAAGAAAAAGGTCAGTTTAACAGAAACATGTGTTAAGTTTGGTACACCGAAGACAACAAAACACTGATGAAAAAATTAAACACCTAAATGAAACTGAAAGAACCGCAGTGTTTGTGGATTAGAGAACTCAAATATTATTAAGATGTCAATTCTCTCCAAATTGATGTATAGACTCAAGGCAATCTTAATCAAAATTCCAGCAGGCTTTTTTAATAGACAAGCTGATTCTAAGATTTATACAGAAATTAAAAGAATCTAACATAAACAAAACCATTTTTCAAAAGAGGAACAAAGTGTGAGAACTCACACTACCTGATTTCAAGACAGTATTAATGATTAAGAGTGTGGGACTAGCATGACAGACATATAAATCAATGGAATAGAGTCCAGAAATAGACCAACACATATACAGTTAATCTGTTTTTGATAAAGATGCCAAGGAAGCACTAAACAAAAAGAGTATTTTCAGCAAATAGTGTGGGAATGACAAATATTCATATGTAAAAAAATAAAGCTGGACCCTTACTTCACATCATATATAAAAACCAACTCAAAATGGATCACAGATAATAAATGTAAAAATAGAACTATAAAACTTCAGAAACAGTGGTTCACAACTGGGTAAAATTTTGACACTCCCTTTGCCCTCAACCACAGGACATTCGGCAATGTTTGGAGACATGTTTCATGGTTACAACACGGAGGATTACTACTGATATCTAGTGGGGAAAGGTCAAGGAGGCTGCTAACCACTACAACACACAGGACAGCTCCACACAATAAGGAACTATCTAGGCCAAAATGTCAAAAGTGCCAAGGTTGAGAAACCTTGTTCTAGAAAAATATATAAGATAAAATCTTTGTGGCATAGGATTAGGAAAAAATTTCTCAGAACACAAGAATACAAACCATAAAAAAAATCCAAAATCTATACACCAACTTCATCAAAATCAAAGCTTCTGTTCTTCAAAAGATACATAATATTCATTTTTATGTGGGTTTTTTTAAGATTTTATTCATTTGTTTGTCGGAGAGAGAGAGCACAAGCAGGGGGAGTGGCAGGCAGGGGGAGAAGCAGACACCCCACTGAGCAGGGAGCCCAATGCGGGTCTCAATCTCAGGACCCTGGGATCATGACTTGAGCTGAAGGCAGACATTTAACCAACTGAGCCACCCACGCATCCCGATATATAGAATTCAAAGAAAAACCATAGAGTGGGAAAAAGTACTTGCAAAATATGCATTTGATAAAGGACTTGCATCTAGAACTGATAAAGAACTTCCAAACTCAACAAACAGAATAAATAAGCCATTAAAAATGGGGGAGAGATTTTAAAAGACCCTAAAGAAGAAACACGGGTGGCAAATAAGCACACAAAAAGATGTACAATATCATTAGTCATTAGGAAAATGCATAGTAAAACCACAATGAGACACCATAATACTCCTATGTGTAAAATGGCTAAAAATTTTAAAACAAAACAACTGGCAATACCAAGAACTGGCAAGGATGCAAATCAACTAGAACTCTCATATATTATGAGGGAAGGCAAAATGGCATAGCCACTTTGGAAAACAGTTTAGTACTTTCTCATAACATTAAACATACAATTACTTTATCATCCAGCAATCTCATTCCTAAGTATTTACCAAGAGGATGAAACCACTTGTCTACAAAAACCTTCACCTGTATGGAATACTACTCAGCAATAAAAAATTAAAAAGAATCAACTATTGATTCATACAACAATATGGATAAATCTCAAAAGCACATGCTTAGTGAAAGAAGCCAGATTCGAAAACCTATACACTTTAATTCTGAAAGGGCAAAACTATAAGGACAAAAATCAGATCAGTGGTTGCCAGGGACTAAGGATGGGGAGATGACTGATTATAGTGAGGCACAAGGGAACTTTTCTGGGGTCATGGCAATCTTGTATATCTCAAATGCGGTAGTGGTTATGTAACTGTATATATTTGTCAAAGCTCATCAAACTGTATACCTAAAAGAGTAAGGATTGCTGTATTTAAATTCTACACCAATGAGGTTAACATAGCAGGAAATGGAGAGAGAAAATTCTTGAAAATTTCATTTAACAGGGAGCAGAATATTAAACCAAACAGTAGCTGGAGGGGAAGAAAGGAAGAGACATTTGTACTCAAGCTGCTGGAGGTGACATGGTCTAGACTGTGACCATGGGATGAGTAACCTAGTAGGGGGTAGCAATTTAGGAGAAATGGAGGAAAAGATCCATGAAGGTTAGATCAAAGATCCAGGCGTTTTAGGCACTACATGGGTAATATAAGCTGAAGTGAAAGAAACAGAACACTGTAGCAAAAGCCATAGTTTTCAATGAATAAAGAGAGGTAACTCAGACAACAGCAACAAAGATGAATAAACAGAATAACAAGGAGAAAAGAGGGGAGGAAATAAGAAAGTGGCATAATGCTCCAGCTACGCTGAGGAACCTAGGCATAAAGGCAGAAATAAAGAGCTACAGGATCGATCCATGACATATATTTTATTTTTTTTCATGGCATATATATCATAAGACAGGGACAAAAAGGAAGACACCTATTTTTGGACCATGCTCTACCATAAGTATGTCCTCAGAGAATATAAAACTATTTTGGGATATATCCATATATTCATTTCCTAGGACTGCCATAACAAAGTTACACAAATTGGGGGGCTCAAAACAACAGAAATTTATTTTCTCACAGGCTAGAGGTTTGGAGGTTAGAAGTCTGGAATCAGGGTGTTGGCAGGGCCACACTCCACCCAAAGCCTCTAGGGGAGGATCCTTCCTTACCTCTTCTACCCGCAGGTAGCCCCAGGCATTCCTTGGCTTGTGGCAGTATATCTCCAATCTCTGCCTCTGTCTTCACAAGGCTGACTTCTGCCTGTGTGTGTCTCTCTACACATGCTGTTCTCCTCTCTTACAAGGATATCAGTTATATTGGATTAAAGGCCTACCATACTACAGTATGATCTCATCTAAGTTGTATCTGCAATCACCCTATTTCCAAATAAGGACACATTCTAAAGTACTGGGGATTAGGACTTCAACAAATTTTGGGGCATACAATTCAATCTATTGCAATCCCCCTTTCATTTAATGGTCCCAGAGTACTATGCACTTTCTGGTCAAGGCTTCTTTTAACCCCTTTCTTTCCCTTGATGATAGCAAATCTCCTTCATCCATATCTTGTATCAAATGGATAATCATTGCAATTTAGAGAGAATTGAAGGTACCAGAAGAAATCTGATAACCAAGTTATTAGATAATCAACCTTAAATATTTAACCATTATGAATAAGGCTGCATTTTTCCTCCAACAAACACATGTAAGCTTCTTTCCTATCTGCTCACAAGTTTTCCATCTCTTCTAAATTTATGACTATACTCTAGATTAGTGGTTCTCAAAGTGTGGCCCAAATTTCCCTGGCAATCAAAGACACTCTTTCAGGAAATCTATGTGCAGCTCCCTTTTCTATGTATCTAAATAAGGCCAGATTTTTTTTTCACATACTTCAGGGTATCCCAACAGACTAAATGCAGAAGCAGATATGAGAATCCAATTGTGATGGTTAATTTTATGTGTCAACTTGGCTGAGCCACCAGGTGCCCAGATATTTGGTTAAACATTATTCTGTATGTCTAGATTAACATCTGATTAACATTTGATCCACAGACTGAGTAAAGCAGATTGCCCTTTCCACTGTGGGCAAGCCTCATCCACTCCATTAAAGGCCTGAATGGAACAAAAAGCTGAGCAAAACAGAATTCACTCTCTCTGCCTGATGGTCTTAAGGCTGGTACATAGGTCTTCTCCTGCCTTTAGACTTGGATTCAGAATAGAACTTACACCATTAGTTCTCCTGGTTCTCAGGCCTTTGGATTCAGACTACAACTATACTATCAGCTCTCCTGGGTCTCCAGGCGGCAGATCTTAGAATTCTCAGCAATCACAAGAGCAAATTCCTTATTTTGTGTGTGGGGGTGTGTGGGGGTGGGGGTGTGTGTGTGTGTGTATTAAGTCTCCTCTTGGTTCTGTTTTTCTGGAGAACCCTGTCTAATATACCATCTTTTATTACGCCTGACATTAAAAGAGATACGCAAAAATGTAAAACAATGCCACTCTTTCAACTAATTTTTTTGTCTTGGAAAATAGTTATTTTTCATTTTAAAAATACATTATTTATGCTAATATATTTATTATTTTAATATTTTTTAAATGTTTTAATTTCTAGTAAGCTAAATATCAATATAGATAATCCATATGAACAAAAAATGCTTAAAATACCTATGAAGAATGTAAATGAGTCCTGAGACAAAAAAGAAACTGAAATACTATTCTCTATAATTAAAATTGTTAAAGATCTATTAGAAAAATGGAATATTAAAGTAATACACCTCTAACTATTTTTGACAGCTAAATCAGAATTTCTCATGCTGCTTATGAAAAGAAAAGTAAGTTTGCCAGTTACACAAGACATACCTGATCAGCCTTAGACCTCCACCGAGCTGTTTTTTCCACAGAGACCACAGTAGTATCAGAAATCTGTGTCCCACTATTGCCTTGATATAGTGGCTGTTGCCATACATGACAGGTCAATGGAAAAACCTGAAAATCAAAAGCAGATTTAAATAGAGTAGTAACAATGGGCGCCTGGGTGGCTCAGTCATTAAGCCTCTGCCTTCGGCTCAGGTCATGATCCCAGGGTCCTGGGATCGAGTCCCATATTGGGCTCCCTGCTCAGCAGGAAGCCTGCTTCTCCCTCTTCCACTCCCCCTGCTTGTGTTCCCGCTCTCGCGCTCTCTCTCTCTCTCTCTGTCAAATAAATAAATAAAATCTTTAAAAAAAAATAGTAACAAAATCACTGTTATTAAATAATAGTAAACATCTAAACTTTAGCTTATAGTTCTCAGTTTCTAAAGCACTTTCATAAATATATATACACATATATATATGTGTATATATATAAAACATTTCAACTCCACAACCACTGCCCAAATATATATATAACATTTCAACTCCACAAGCACTTTCCAAATTTCTACCTTCACTTAAAAATAAAAAAACAGGAGCGCCTGTGACTCAGTTGGTTAAGAATCCGACTCTTCCTTTCAGCTCAGGTCATGACCTTGGGGTCGTAAGATCCAGTCTGGTGTCAGGCTCTGTGCTTAGCGCAGGGTCTGCTTGGGATTCTCTCTCTCCCGCTGCCCACCCCCTCCAGCTGCCCTCGTGCATGCATGCTCTCTCTCTCTCTCCAAAATAAATAAATCTTTAAAAAAATAAAAAAAGAGTCTTAAGGTTATCCAGTTAGAACTCAACGTACTTTCCAATAAACCATGGCAGTTCCTTAACCTCAAAAAATAAAAGCAAGCAGAAACAAGCAAGTTACTTATTTTAAAATCTTACTATTTGAGACACCTAAGAAATGAACTCTAATAATAGGGACTAAAATCAACTCATAGTGGGGACAGTGGGAACAAACATCAGGCTCATTCCGTGAGGTCAAGGGTTAGAGCAGGGCTCCCTCAACTGTGAAAGGCAGCAATAAAAGCTGTGACTACAGCTCAAGGCTGAAGCAATGCAAATGGAAAAGATCCAAGGTAATCAAACAAAAATGAGCTAGGTCAAGTCACCCACTGGTTCAGGGACTGGTTCCTGAGATTTTCTTCAATATTCCTGGACAATAAAAATCCAAAGCTTCAATATAAGACCTCTTTTTTAACAAGCAGCCACAAGGAGCAAAGTAAAGACAACCACAGAAACACCAGGTAGTGAAGGATACATCAAAAGAGAAAATAAAAAAAAACTCCTACTAAAAATGCAATTACAAACTATACTTTGAAAAAACTTTAAAATGAGTATCTCAGATCCTCAAAGATATAAACCCACAATGTCCATTAAAAGGGAAGTTATAAAAGTAAAACAGGCAGTTATAAGCCAAGAAAAGACGAACGCTAACAAAATATTAATAACCACAAATGTGAAAGAGCCTCTGAAGGAAATCCAAGGCCATCAGATTTTTTACAGATTTAAAATACTGTCACTACACTAACAAAACATTTTTACTGAGAGAACTTATAACAATATGTTTTTGGTCACAGAAAGGCCAGCTCATTTAAAATCTATTCAATAACTAAAGAGAGTTCTAAGATATCAATTCTTCCAAGAGGTTTTTCAAATGCATTCTGGCAATCTGAAATCATTAAATATGTAACAGTACAGCCAATGTTCTGGCACAGTCTACTTTGAGCCCTCCAGGAAAGAATGCCAACATAAATGTTCAAAATGGCTAGTCACTGCAGCTAAATAATGTTGGTTGTGGACCAAGGGGTCTTGCCTTTGAAGAGTTGCTTCACAGCAGCTTATAAAAAAGAGAGTTCAATTCATTAGAATATTTGTAGGAAACTAATGAATGATAAAATATTAAGAAACTAGCACTTTGAGAACTAACCCAATGTGTGAGAAAACGAACATTACCCCTCACTTTTATCAGTTTAAAGAAAACCTAAAAATTAAAATTAAATGTTAAAAGAAAAATTCTTATTAAAAAATCCATTCCCCAGACTTCCTATTTTTATCACCTGTTTAGACGTCATCAAGAAAACTAATTTCTAACACATTCCCATATGTCTGAGCAACTTTTCCACTATTGCCTCTGAATATAACCCAAATACTTGAAGAAGGATTCTTAAGATGAATGCTTCAAAACTAAGCAGGTGTCATCAGCTCTTCATCTGAAATTAAATGTTTTTTGGTATAAATTAACAGTTTGAAAGAGCCCTTCCCTGAGTAAGTTTTTAATATTAAAGGTTAGTAGTCTTCCAAATATAAGCTGCCTATGAGATAAACACTTAAGATCTAAGGACACATATAGGCTGAAAGAAAAAGGGTGGAAAAGGATATTCCATGCAAATAGTAACCAAAAGAGCACAGGAGTAGCTATTACAAATTCAGACGAAAAAGATTAAAATCACAAAAGGGTCAAATCACCAAGAAGATATAACAATTACAACTATTTATGCACACAACCCCAGAGCTCCCAAATCAATGAGGCAAATTTTTAAAAACTGGGAGAAAAAATACACAGCAACACAATATATTAAAAGATTCAATACCTAACTTTCAATAATGCATAAAATCACCATACAGAAGAACAATAAGAAAATAGAGGAACTGAACAACACTATAGAACAACTGGACCTAACACATATGTATAGAACAATCCACCTAAAAACAGCAAAATATACATTTTTTTAAGTACATATGGAACATTCTTTAGGCTAGATTTATTTATTTATTTTGAACATGTTAGGCCACAAAAGTCTTAACAAACTCAAGAAGACTGACATGCAGTGCCTTTTCCAATCACAATGGAATGAAACCAGAAATCAATAGCACAGAAAAAACTGGAAATTTCCACAAATACACAGAAATTAAACACCACACTCTTTAAAAAACCAATACGTCAAACAAGGGAAAATAAAAAAGAACTTTGACACAAATGAATATGAAGATATAAAATAACAGAACTTATGGGATGCAGCAAAAGCAGTGCTAAAGGGAAATTTACAGCTGTAAAGGCATACATTAAAAAAAAAAAAAAAAAGCAAGAGATAGTCCAAGGCGGTGGAGGAGTAGGAGACCTTAGTTTCGTCTGGTCCCAGGAATTCAGCTAGACAGCTATCATATCATTCTGAACACCTGCAAACTCAACCAGAGATCTAAAAAAAGAATAGCTGCAACTCTACAAATAGAAACGAGTCCACTTTCTACAAGACAGAAAGACAAAATGGAAAAAACTCATCTCAAAAAAGAGAACAAGAGGCAGTACTGACTGCCAGGGATCTAATCAGTAAAGATATAAGTAAGATGTCAGAACTAGAGTTCAGAATAATGATTATAAAGATACTACCTGGGGGGCGCCTGGGTGGCTCAGTCATTAAGCATCTGCCTTCGGCTCAGGTCATAGTCCCAGGGTCCTGGGATCGAGCCCCACATCGGGCTCTCTGCTTGGCAGGAAGCCTGCTTCTCCCTCTCCCACTCCCCCTGCTTGTGTTCCCTCTCTCGCTGTGTCTCTCTCTGTCAAATAAATAAAATCTTTAAAAAAAACAAAAAAAAGATACTACCTGGGCTTGAAAAAGAGCATAGAAGACAGAATCCCTTTCTGGAGAAACTAAAGAACTAAAATCTAATCAAGTCAAAATCAAAAAGGCTATTAATGAGGTGCAATAAAAAATGGAGGCTCTAACTGCTAGGATAAATGAGGCAGAAGAAAGAATTAATGATATAGAAGACCAAATGATGGAGAATAAAGAAGCTGAGGAAAAGATAAACTACTGGATCACGAAGGTAGAGTTCGAGAGATAAGTGATACCATAAAGGAAAATACTACTAGAATTGGGATCCCAGAAGAAGAGGAAAGAAGGACGGGGTAGGAGGTATATTGGAAAAAATTATAGTAGAGAACTTCCCTAACCTGGGGAAGGAAACAGGCATTCAACTCCAGGAGGCACAGAGAACCCCCCTCGACATCAATAAAAATAGCTCAACACCTTGACATATTAACAGTGAAATGTGCAAATCTCAGAGACAAAGCGAAAATCCCAAAAGCAGCTTGGGACAATAACCTATAAGGGTAGAAACACCAGACTGGCAGCAGACCTATCCACAGAGATGTGCCAGGCCAGAAAGGACTGGCATGATATACTCAGAGTGCTAAATGAGAAAAATATGCATCCAAGAATACTTTATCCAGCTAGGAGTCATTCAAAATAGAAGGAGAGTTAAAAAAGCTTCCAGGACAAACAGAAACTAAAAGAATTTGTGTGAGAATGCAAGCTGGTGCAGCCACTCAGGAAAACAGTATGGAGGTTCCTCAAAAAGTTGAAAACAGAGCTACCCTACGACCCAGCAATTGCACTACTAGAGATTTACCCCAAAGATACAAATGTACTAATCCAAAGGGGCACCTGCACCCCAATGTTTATAGCAACAATGTCCACAATAGTCAAACTATGGAAAGAACCCAGACGTTCATCGACAGATGAATGGATAAAGATACACACACACACACACACACACACACACACACACACACACACACACTGGAATATTATGCAGCCATCAAAAAAAACCCAACAACGTGAATAGAACTAGAGGGTATCATGTGAAGCAAAATAAGTCAGAGAAAGACAATTATATGATCTCACGGATATGTGGAATTTGAGAAACAAGCAGAGGATCATAGGGGAAGAGAAGAAAAAATGAAATAAGATGAAACCAGAGAGGGAGAGAAACCATACGAGACTCTTAATCTCAGGAAACAAACTGAGGGTCGCTGGAGTGGAGGGGGCTGGAGGGAACAGGGTGGCTAAGTGATGGAGACTGGGGAGGGTATATGTTGTAGTGAGCGCTGTGTATTGTGTAAGACTGACGAATCACAGACCTGTACTCATGAAACAAATAGTACATTATATGTTAATAAAAGAGGGCACATGATGTAATGAAAAAAATAAAATAAAATAATTTGTGACCACTAAACCTGCCCTGCAAGAAATATTAAAGGGGATCCTTTAAGCAAAGAGAGAACCCAAAAGTAACAAAGACCA